TTATTGGTGATATTGTTACTGTCAGATTTATGTCCAACTCCCCATACTGGCAGGAGAAAGAGTCCTTTCAGGATCATCTTTATTGCAGTGCCTTATTCCCATGTTGTAGACATAGAACAAAACCTCTTACAAAACACCTCACTCTGTCAGGAAATTTATTTTGTTCATTAGATTCTACATATAATGTTATATCATGATATTTGTCCTTCTCTGGCTGTCTTTATTTCATTTAGCATGATAATCTCCAGGTCCCTCCAGGCTGTGACAAAGAGTAAGAGATCCTGCTTTTTTATAGCTGCATAGTATTTCATTGTGTAAATGTACCACAGCTTTTTTTAGCCACTTATCTACTGACTAGAGGCTCAGGTCCCCTCAGCCCAGCCTGCACCCTCTCCAATCCAGGACCCCTTGGGGGATGTCCAACTGCCGGTTTAGGATTGGGCCTAAACCGGCAGTCAGACATCCTCTCACAATCTGGGACTGCTGGGTCCTAACTGCTCACCTGCCTGCCTGCCTGACTGCCCCTAACCCCTCTGCCTGCCTGCCTGCCTGATTGCCCCTAACCCCTCTGAAAAAACAACTGCCAACCCCCTGCCGGCCTGGTCGCCCCATGCAGCCTGCTGTTTGGTCGTTACTGTTACTGTGACGGCATTCTGGACAATTTGCATATTCCTCTATTATTAGTATAGATGGGCACTTGGACTGTTTCCAGATATTGGCTATTGTACTAGTAAATAATGCTGCTATGAACATTTAACATATTTGCAAATTTTGTAACATTCCTTTGTATTGCCAAGTACTATTGTGTGGCTATACCACATTTTATTCATCCATTTATTAGTTGATGGACATTTAGTTGATGTTTCTATTTTTTGAGTATCATGAATAATGCTGCTATGAATATTTGTATACGTTTTGTGTGGACATGTTTTCAATTCTTTTGAGTATATAAAAAAAGATATAATTTTAACATTCAGCTCAGATCCTCCTCCTCTCATTAATGCTAATGAATGAAATTGAATTCATCTTTATATGCATTCATTACAGCGATAGCCTGGGGAAATTTCATGTGGGGTAAACGATGAACAGGCTGGTTCCTTTTCTTTGTTGTTAATTCTTATTGACCAGGAAAAATTCTGTATAAAAACTAGTTCAACTAAATCTATAACTTTCCTTCTTCTCTTTTGATCTCCACTGCCTTGGCACTGCTCATCTCATGCTTTGAGTCCCTAGATGGAAATGTAAGATGCTTTCTGAAAGAATGCTCAGTGCCTCTGGGTGACCCCTGCCAAGGCCCGACAGCTGGGAATATGAGAAGAGACAATGAAAATGTAGGCCAATAACATAACAGCCTGCCCCAGCCCTATGCATGACCTTTATTAATCAGGGTATGTGAAGTCGGAAATTTGTATACAGTCCCTGTATTCACATCTCTCTTCCTCATTCACCTTGACTTTTTCGGAGCCTTTCTGGGGAGAGCATTGAACAAATGTTCCTTTTCTCTGAAATTTCCCTGAGGATTTCAAAAACAGTTAACATGTCTGCAGCTCTTGCTGTATGATGGGAACTGAGCTAAGCAACTTCCGTGTAGCTTATCTCATTTGATTCTCACATTCCTTTAAGATGTTGGTATTGGTCCCATTTTCCAGATGTGGAAACAGGTCTGAAGTGGCTGTAGAACTTTCCAAGAATGCAGGCTTAGTAAACGACAGAAGCAAGACTTGAACTCAGATTTGACTCATTAAAGTTGTAACTACTAAGGGCTTCACAGCTATTAACACTAAATGTGTGCCCCACATTCTTGTGTATTTAAAATGAGCAGTCGTGTGCTGGGAGTTTTTTTACTTGTCATGTTGGCGATCTCTTTGTACGTGGCTGTTCCTTCAGGGCGAGTACAACATGTACCTCGTTAACTACCGGGGAAATCTGTTACTGTGAAATAAGTAAGCCTTTGTCTGCGCTGCTAACCTTCAGCCCACCCGTCCACATCCCCACAATGAAGACATCTTCTCAGAGCCTTTCCTGAAACACAGCTGCACCTACCTGTATGCATTTAACACGCTTTGTGCTAGCTCCCGACACAGGTGAAGGGCAATTAAACGTTTGCTTGTCTGCCTAGTACTTTTAAAATAGATATTTAAAAATATACGTAGTTGATATAATTTATATGCCATAAAATTTACTCACTTTAAGTGTACAATTTAACAGTTTTTATTAAATATACTGAATTGTGCAGTCATCATTATAATCCAGCTTTAGAACATTGCATCTCCCCATGAAGTTCCCTCAGGTCTATTTTCACTAATGTCACCCCCAACCATATGCAACCACCGACCTGCTTTCTTTCTCTATAGATCTGCCTTTTCTGGACATCTAAGGTAAGTGGAATCAAATAATATATAGTCTTTTGTGTCTGACTTCTTTTACGTAGCATGTTTTTGAGGTTCACCCTTATTATAGTATACATCATTATCTTTTTTTTTATTGTTGTTTTTTAATTGTATGAACATGTCACATTTTCTTTCTGTATTTATCAGTGGATGGACATTGGGTTACTTCCACTCCCTGGCTGTTGTGAACATTTGGGTGTTCACTGTTGTGTGTACATATTTCATAGATACACTGGAATAGAATTGATGAGCATCTTTGATTCTGAACCTTTGAAGTTTTAGTATTGCCTTAGTGTTCTTCAGATTGGCTTGTCTGGCATGCCTGCCACAGTGTGGGCAGAGAAACTGGTCAGGAAATATCTATGACATAGTCTCATGTTCCATGAACCCTTGTTTGGTTTTTATGTAGCATCTTTCCTCCTCCCCCCGCCTCCTCTTGGAAAGAATTTTCTTCTTATCTCAGATCCACGAAATCATAGCAAAAATCCTAATGGTTTTGGATGGCCTCTTTTCTTTCCAGCAGAGCCCCGGGATACATGGACAGCACTTCATAAAGTGCCACACTGACACTAACAGAATGTAAATGACTTACATTGTGTACACATTACTCTGCTGACTAGGTATAGATGAGGTATAGATGAGTAGATTATATATTTTCTCTTATTAAAGACAATAATGGAGAAAGTGAGGGAAGGTTTTTGGGTGAACTCTTTTGTTTGGAGATTAACATGTCTATACCCAAATAAAGTAAAAATGTTTCCCTACCAAAGTATGGTTTCATTTTAGAAAACAGAAGCCTGATACAACAAGAGGGGCTGGGTATTTTCACCAAAGAAATTGCTATAAAGTTATTAATGCTGTTAAAAGCTACTTATTACCAAGTAGGAAAGATTAGTTGAAGGTCTAAAAAATATTCAGCTAGTGTAAATGCCTCTGTATTTTCAACCTCTTTTCTACACCCAAAGCCTGCCTCTGATTTATTCTGTCAAACTAAGAATAAATCCTGACTTGCATCCGTTTTTATTTATAAACATCTTCCTTCCTTCCTTTGAATGCAGCCTATATGCTCTGCTTCCCTTGAAGAAGTAAGTTTGTTGACTTTCCTGGGGGTAGTGGTGAAACAGGTTCCTTATTGTGTATGTGATAAAACCAGAGAGTGTTCTTATTTCTGGGCAGCTACTATATTTCACCACCCATATCTCCAGAGGATAGGACACAGGATTTTTAGAGGAGGAAATATCATTGTTTAAATGACTAGATCAAAACTAATATGGCAGCAAAAGGGATTAGATTAAATCAGATTGAAAGGCCTGACATACAATGCTCAATATGAGTTCATTGAACCTGGTTTGGAGCCTCATATTAATAATTTCTCAGTGGTGCTTAAGAGCATGGACTTTAGAGCCAGATGCCATGTTTAAAAAAAAAAAGTCCTACTTTACCACTTCCAAGCTAGGCAAGTTACTCAGTTCTTTAGGCCACAGTTTCTTCAGAGAAATGCAATGATGCTAATAGTACTACCGTTGTACTTCAGAGAATTGCTAAGCTTAAATAATATATTAAAACTTGATATCTGACACAAAGTGCTCAGTAAATGTAAAACAATGAAATTTAAAAACAGAAAACACCAGTTCCCTGGGAAGCTTGTAGACCAGAGACATATGGTAAATGGCCTCATTAGACTTTCTAGTCAGACTTCAATTAGGTGGGAGTTAGCAGCTAGAAACCAGTTGTTTAAACACTGAGCCTGTTTCCTTCTGAAAAATATTTTTTTTAATGGAGTTAGTGTCTTCAGCACTTTTCATTTCATTCATCCACTGGGTGGGGAGTAACTGGTATAATGTATGAAGGTGTCCTACAGATGTAAGAATAACCCTTGAAGTGAATGGTAAAGTAACAATGTGTGTACATACTGGGGCCCTATCTGGCATTTCTGCAATGTACCCAAGACACTGGGAAGGAGGTTTGTATACACACGTGTCCAACCACATACTGTAAGTGATGGAGGATAGTGATGGGGTTTTTCTTACTCATATGCTATCTTCAATATTTATCAGATAGTAGGTATGTCAAATTTGGTTTTTCAGCCATGATGCTTTTTTCCTTCGTAGAGAAGCGAGTATTTATAGGAAAAGTTTGTTAGATTACCCAATTCATGGATACGACCGAAACATAGTATGTGTTTTGGGGAAAATGAATAGATTGTACAGAATAGTTGTGTAACATTGCTATGACATTTACTAAATATTTATGCCTTTTTTGCAATAATTCATTTTAAAATAAGGTAAGAATTTTGGCTAGATAACGTTTACACAAAATACCATTTTTGTGACAGACGGCTGGATTTGGAGAAGCCTTCACTCAGCCCCCTTGTATAATTGGCACGTGACCACCTGAGGCATGGACGGGAAATCGGGCCTGTGGCACCAGGGTTAAGCTCCTTTTGAACGTACGCCGTACTAGCACGCAAGCACTGCTACACCGACACGCAAGTGTCCACGTTAGCATATGAAGGTATCTGAAGTGATAGCTCTACTTTCAGTAGAAAAAGGAGGAAAAGGGAGGAAAACTGGAACTGCACGAGTTCTACAGAAGCATGTCGGAGTCATGTAATGAAAAAGCAGGTTTTTTATTATGATGTTTCTCCATATTTGGCATTGCTGTAAATGGCTAACTAACATTTACTGCCAATTCAGTACAAATGTGTGGTTTGGTAATACCAGAACAGCAAATTTAAATGAAAAATAAAAGTTAAACATTTCCACACAAGATTTTACAGTCTGACATTTCACTGCGTAGATAAAAAGACTTTTTTTTTTTTACTAGAGATTATTCAGCATGAATAAAAAACTACAACTTTTATTTTTAAACAGGAGTCACTGGTTTTAATTTTTACACATTTTAAAATTACTGTGATAAAAAATAATGAAAAAGCTTCTTAATTATGCCATACACAGTATAATATAGATCTGTCCCCATTATATAGCATTTGTTTAATATACAAAATAGAATATTGACACACTTGAATCTATATGTAGTTAAGCAAGTTACTTGAGGAGGGTCTTTTCATACAGCCTTTCATCAGAAAATAAACTCCTTCTTCCAGCCATTTCCTAGCGAGGAGCTGGCCCTTTCCCAAAGACCTGGGCGCTAATCCTGCTGGACCAGGCTGACGGGGACTAGTCAGGAAAACGATGAACTTCCATGCCAAGTGGTTCAAGTGTCCTCCTTTCACTCTGATTTATTTTCCCTTTCAACTCTCAACCCAGGCACATAAGCACACATTCATCTATAGCTACTGTCTGAATGGCCGACCGAGTTCGAAGGCCACTGAGGGCTGCCATGGTTCTAGACTCCTGACAGATCAAAGTGCAATAATACTGCTCATTCCATGGAGATGCAGTTTTAGGGTATTTAACAGAGAACTAAAATGATAAGCCTCGATGATAATAGGACGTATAGATAAGTAAAACTGGAACGGCTCCCCGCCCCCGCCCCAATTCTGAAGTGAGGTTAGCATGTGGCTCTCCTTTATCTGCATGTCCAGAATCCATCCTGTGCTAACTACCAAGCTCTCCAGAGACCCTGACCCTGTTAGTTTCCCTGGGGGTGACATTTTCTTTTTCAGGAAAAGGTAGGTACTCTTTTAGGTTCCCCTCCCATAGTCTTAGACAATTGGGTACATACACCCCACAAGCACTTGCATCCCACAGCAAGGCCTGAAAACACCAAGAGGGCCATCTTCTTCTCCCAGTAATTAAAGTCTTTTCAGGGTTTGTTGGGAGTCACCTAGGCCTGTCACCAACTCTCACTGACATTACAAACTTAAAGAGCTTCAGATGGCAAGATACCACATACAGCGAAAATGAAGCTACTTTCAAATAGCACCTCCTTTTTTTCACTTAAATCCATAATTACACTCAGAGGAACAACATAATTAAGATAACTTCCTTTCCACATATTCAAAAAGGGCACAGCTTATTTTCCATCTAATGCACAGCCTCCTATAGTTTTATGAATGTCAGTTGATTTCTTTTTAACAACAAAGTGAGCATATCATTTTTTTCACTGACCTCTTATTTTTTTAAGAGCCGAGGATGCTGGGACTAAAATATGATTAATGTCTGACGTGTTTTCTGATTTTAACCATATAACATTCTATAAGTGAATAAGTTACCTTTCAGAAGTTCTTTTTGATTCTTAACACTGTGATTGATAATAATAATCAAGTGGTATTTCTTAGGCACCCAAAATTTCACATCTAGCTGGGTTACAAACCAACTTAAAATACTTTGAACCAAATTAAACCATTACAAAAGGAACATTCCCTTTTAGAGAGCATTCAAAAAGCAAATTATTACATTTTTTATTAAATAATTTCTCCAAAATACTGAAAAAATAACAAATAACATTCAAAAAGCATTCAAAGAAAACATAAACATCCTCATTTTGTTTGGAAATGAACTCTTGTAGGATAGAAAGGAATTAGTGTATTACTGGCAACCTATGAGATTCTGCATTATTTACATATTGCTGGTACCTCTGTGCGTATTATTGCCCAACTTCTCAAGCCTCTGTTTTTATGACACGGTTGGCGAGGCTGCTGTGAAAGTAACCCCGCTCTGAGACGGTGCCTGTCCGTGTGTGAGCACCACCTTGCTGGCTCCTGCTCCTACGCGTTAGCGCAAGAGGAGGCTGAGTCAGCCAGACCTGCCCTGCCAGACTCACCGCGGGAACAAGAGGGTGGTCATGCTGGGAGGCGGAGGGTTACTCCCTCTGTGATCTGTGATCTGAGATCTGAGCGGGACGGAGCCTCAGCACCAGTCTCCATCTCTCTCTTCCCCGGAGCAAACCCGTTTGGTGTTTGGGACCACTGCTGCCTGTCCTGTATGAATGCTTGCACACACTATAAATCATATAGGTTATCCACCGACATTTCTCTGACCCCTACAAAAAATATATATAACATGTCGTGATAAAACAATCTCATCTAAAAATCATTCTTATTTTACACTATACAAGCTATTTTACAATCATTTTAATAAATTGCATGTAAAGCTGCAGTAGCCCTTCCCTTCCCAGATTAGTGAATACCAATATGATATATATCTGAAACTATAACTAAATATAAAAATATATTAGAAGTTTCATATTGTTAATGTTAGATTTTCAGTTTTCTATTACACAAATAATTTGGCCACCATGAATAGAAATCGGATTTCTTGTGGCTTAATAAGTATGAGTTTTGAGTTAACAGAAAGGTGGTAAGGTGCACACAGAAAGGGCTACCACAGCTTCTATTCTGTTTAAAATGATTAATTCTCAACAGCGAGGAAAAAAATTCACAAGACTTGTTAAACTCCATGGCACACGGGGATGGGCGGGTGTGGCTTACACACGTGGGAGCCTGACTCGCAGCCTAAGTCACAGGGAGCAGCCGCCGAGCTTCCCGGCGCCACCAGGAAAGGAGACCAATTGTGACAGATGGGAATGTGAAAATGGGTGTCTAGCCACTTCTGCCACATTAGAGATTTCGTTTTTTGGGTAAAGTGAGAGGAATTGCTTGGTCTGATTAAAATCCCTCAGCTTTGTTTCCGCTGGTTCTCTGGAATCCTAACTTTTAAGAAGTTATACAAACTACAACAGAAGGTCCTGAACGGCCGGAAACTCGCGTTCTTGCCGTTAACCATTGCAGGGATAGGGCGTTAGGTGCAGACAGGGCCTCTTAGTAGTTTTTTTTTTTTTTTTTAATTAGTCTTTTGCAACCATCATCTATGGTTTACCCTGCAGGTTTGGACCAGGTAGGTGCTCGATACCAGTTAGGGTGGTTAATTTGCACAACCTCTATAATCCTCCACTGAAGCATATATATATATATATATACAAAATGTGAGCTTTTTTTGACAAGAATACTGGAGATTTGAGTCGATTTTTGTGATCTTCTGATAGCTAAGTGCCATCAGGTTAGAAGCACCAACCCATTTTCACACAGAAGATTAATGTTTAGAGTTTATTTAGGAAAGCTATGAACTAGTTGCCCATCATCTTAAACAGCTGTACAATAACTCAAATACAAAAATTAAGAAAAATGAGCAAGCGTAGTTTACTGAATATAAAGGAAATTGTTAAAACCAGACAGCAATAGCTATAAAAGGCACAGCTTCCCTTTTCTGATATACACTTGTAAACTTTTTTTTTCAGGTTTCCATGCATAAATCAAAAAATGTTATCCTAACTATACAGGGCAAATACACCAACAAAAAGTCTAGAAGATTTTGTCCAGCCAACTGTGATAAGTCTGAGCAGGAAGTTCACTGAGCAGACTGGGCACTGGTGGTTAGAGTGCCATCCTTCTCCGACAGGGAGGTGGCCCCCCCTCATTGTTTCTCATTCCTGGGATCCACCAACTATCACTTCCTACTGTTCCCATCACTGAAAAGCGAGGGCTCAACTGCTTCTGTCGCCAAGCCTTGGCCCTCTATAAACCACATGTAGTGCGTGTTTAAAACAAGACAAAAACAAACACCAGACATAAACAAAAAAGCAAAATAAAACAACATAACCGCTATAGGATAAACGATAGTTTGTACAATAAAAGCTATAAAGTCAACTTTCTTTAAGGCAACCTTTCTGATTAAGGCAGTCACTTTTGATGAAACAGAAGTTTTTTGATATTTCCACTTGAATATTTTGGTAACTGATTGGTGATGATTTCAGCTAACATCTCTGGGAATTCAATACTCATGGATTTATCCAAAAATGTTTGGAAGCAATAGTGAAGGAGATTTTCAACTACCTACAAGAGAAGATATGGTAATGATTAGCCTTAAAAACCTATCAGTGGGAACATCTCATGCTTGTTGGCCTCTCTCTCTCTCTTTTTTTAAAAATATCTGACTTAGATAGACTATACCCAATCTCTGCTGGAATTCCCCAAGTTAAAAAAAAAAAGTTAAATAAAATGAGCACTCAGGTACCAAAGACCTCTTAAATCCCTTAAACTGTTTGTAGAATTGTATGGAATTAAGTATTTCATGATGAACTGTAGTACTATAACACAGGAAAGACATATTCTAATTTAATGGATTAATCAAGCAAAGCCAGGGAATTCTATATTTAAAAAAACAGTGCTGTTGAATTCTGTACTGGCATCAGGATGCTACAGGCACATGACCAGGTGAAATAAAATTCCATAATTCCACAGGAAAACTGTGGGCCAAACTGAAGTCACAGCCTGAACTCAAACCATCATCAATATCCACAAATGGAAAATATATTGGTATACAATTACATAGACTAATTAGAACATAACTTCATATCCCGGAAAACTTTTGACACTTGGCTTTGTGATTGACACTTACCTCATGCATGGAGTCCAAGAGTTTTGTCAGTTGGTAGAACCGCTGCCAGTTCTGACTGGAGTTCCCTTCCCTCTTGACAATGGCTTTCCCCAGCTCTTTGATGTAGGTCATTCTAATCTCATCAAACAGCTCTTGGCTCTTCAAGCCTTCCTTAGGAACTAAAAGATGAAGAGGTAGTCAATTCAATAACCTTCTTGTGATAACTTTTCATATAAGCAAGTAGGGCATTTATTATTAATAGCATACTTCATGACTTAACATTGTCTATATGCTTTTAATGCACTCAATTAAAACATAAGCATTTCAAAGGATCGTGAAACCACAGCCAAGAGAATAGGGGCCAATGGGAAACTGGAGACCTTAACTTTAGGTAAATCGTGCTGATACCTTCCTCTCTAGTTCACAAAGCTGGCTTGAAGACCAAATAAATAATAGTGCCTTCCATTCTGCCCTTCAGTTTAGTTAGATATAATGAAAACTTCAACAACAGTGTTTATCCCACCAGTTACATCCTGGAATATGTGACATCACCTGTCACTTAAACCCTTAAAATCATGCAATGCATTTTGTCAATTAATGCATTAACACTGAGTTGATATGATTCCAATCTAAAGAGAAATCTGATTTTTTATGTAATACTAGAAGCCCGGTGCATGAAATTCGTGCACCAGGGGCGGGGGGGTGTCCCTCAGCCCAGCCTGCACCCTCTCCAATCTGGGATCCCTCAAGGGATGTCCGACTGTCCGTTTAGGCCCGATCCCTGTGGGACATCCCTCTCACAATCCAGGACTGCTGGCTCCCAACCGCTCGCCTGCCTGCCTGATTGCCCCCTAACTGCTTCTGCCTGCCTGCCTGATCACCCCCTAACCGCTCCCCTGCCAGCTTGATCACCCCCTAACTGCTCCCCTGCCAGCCTGATCGATGCCTAAATGCCCTCCCCTGCCAGCATGGTCGCCCCCAACTGCCCTCCCCTGCAGGCCTGGTCCCCCACAACAGCCCTCCCCTGCCAGCCATCTTGTGGCCACATGGGGGTGGCCATCTTTGACCACATGGGGCAGCCATCTTGTGTGTTTGAGTCATGGTCAATTTGCATACTGGTCATGACTAATTAGCATATCAGGGCTAATTAGCATATCCCTCTCTTATTGTGTTGGAGAGATGGTCAATTTGCATACCAGTCATGACTAATTAGCATATCCCGCTCTTATTATATAGGATATATATACCTACCTACCTACCTCCTGGGAAGGAAATATTTGCTTCCCCTTATATACTCAGAAATATAGAAAATACCTCATGAATTGTGGATCATAAAATTGGTGTGAAATAAATTTTTTAATATTACTCTTCAAAAATTGACACTAGTGGACAGTTAACCATGTTTTCACTTAATCTTACAGCGATGGTGACTTCTGTAGAGTGCGAAGTTTCTCCAAGTGCATTCCTAGGAACTCTGGTTCTGTGTTAATGGCCAGGGAAAAGAGGGTCTGATGGTCCAAATTTAAGCAAAGCTAAAGTTTAATCCAAATCGAGGCATATTTCTGAATTTCAAATTCTCAGAGATAATTATGCTGTCTCCAGAGAGGGGAAACAGCTGTTTCCCAAACTTCACTTCACCTGCTGACACCTTAGGAAATGCTGGCATAGAGGAAGAGTAGTGGGTTTAGGAGCAAGAAGTCTTAATTTAATTTTTACTTGCCCTGTGGACTTGTTTCCTACTCTTTCTCACTAAATTAAATTTTTAAAAAATTTTTTAGATATTAATGATGTAAGACACAATGTAAGTCAGGTATACAACACGATTCATATTATATATACTGTACAATGACCCCCACAAGTCTAGTTAGCATCCAGCACCATGCATTATTACAAAACTTTTCTTGTGATGACAATTTTTAAGATTAACTGTCTTAGGAACTTCCAAATATACAGTACACTATTATTAACTTACAGTCACCATGCTGTATGTACATTGTATCCCCATGCATGCCTACTATTTTATAGCTGGAAGTTTGTACTTTTTAACCCACTTCACCCATTTTCCCCAATCTCAGTCACTGGCATCCACAAGTCTGCTCTCTATACATGAGCTTGTTCTTGTTCATTTTTAGATTCTACATATTAGTGAGATAATCTGATATTTGTCTTTCTTTGACTTATTTCTCTTAGTCTAATGCAGCGGTTCTCAACCTGTGGGGTCGAACGACCCTTTCACAGGGGTCGCCTAAGACCATCGGAAAACACATATATAATTACATATTGTTTTTGTGATTAATCACTATGCTTTAATTATGTTCAATTTGTAATAATGAAAATACATCCTGCATATCAGATATTTACATTATGATTCATAACAGTAGCAAAATTACAGTTATGAGGTAGCAACGAAAATAATTTTATGGTTGGGGGTCACCACAACATGAGGAACTGTATTAAAGGGTCGCAGCATTAGGAAGGTTGAGAACCACTGGAATGCCTCCATGGTCCATTCATGTTGTCACAAATGGCAAGATTTCATTCGTTTTATGGCTGAATAATATTCCACTGAATATAAATATCTCACATTTTATCCATTTATTCACTGATGGACACTTATCTTGCTTCCATATATTGGCTACTGTAAAATGATTTGGCAGTGAACGTAGAGGTGCATATATCTTTTCAAGTTAGTTTTTTTTTCCTTTGGATAAATACCCATAAGTAGAATTGTTGAATCATATATGGTAGCTTTATTTTTAATTTGTCGAGGAACTCCCATATTGTTTTCCATAGTGGCTGCAACAATCTATATTCCCACCAACAGTAAAAGACGGTTCCCTTTATTCCACATCCTCTTCAACACTTGTTACTGTCTTTTTTTTATGACAGCCACTCTAATAGGTGTAAGGTGATATCTCATTGGTGTTTCGATTTGCATTTCCCTGATGATTAATTATATTGAGCACCTTTTCATGTACTTGGTCATCTGTATGTCTTCTTTGGAAAAATGTCTATTCAGATAATGCCTATTTTTTTCATTTGATTGTTTTTTGGCTATTGAGTTGTATGAGTTCTTTATATATTTTAGATATTACCCCCTTATCAGATATATGACTTGCAAATATCTCCCACTTGGCACACTGCCTTTATCTTGGTGGATGGTTTCCTTTGCTGTGCAGAAGCTGTTTAGTTTAATGTAGTTCTACTTGTTTATTTTTGCTTTTGGTGTCAGACCCAAAAAATCATCACCAATATTGATGTCAAGGAGCTTACCACCTATGTTGTCTTTTAGCAGTTTTATCATTTCAGGTCTTACATTCAAGTCTTTGATTGATTTTAAGTTAATAATTGTGTGTAGTGTAATATAGTGGTCCAGTTTCATTCTTTTGTATCTGGCTATTCAGTTTTCCTAACACCATTTATTGAAGAGACTGTCCTTTCCCCATTGTATATTCTTGGCTCCTTTTGTCATAAATTAACATTTTAAGAATATTAACTCTTCCAATGCAGGAGCACAAAATATCCTTCCACTTGCCTCTTCTCCAATTTTTTTCATCAATGCTTTACAGCCTTCAGTGTATAGATGTTTTTCCTCGTTGGTTAAGATTATTCCTAGGTATCTTATTATTTTTGAAGAAATTGTAAATGGAATTATTTTCTGATTTTCCTTTTCTACTAGTTTGTTATTACTATATAGAAATGCACCAGATTTTTTGCATTTTTTATTTTGTATCCTACTTTACTGAATTTATTCAGTTCCAACAGTTTTTTGGTGGAGCCTTTAAGGTTTTCTATATGTAATATTATGTCATCTGCAATTAGAGTTTTACTTCTTCTTTATCTATTTGATGCCATTTCCTTTTCTTGTCTTAATGTTCTGGCTAGAACTTACAATACTATGTTGAGTAAAAGTGGTAAGGGTGGCCATCCTTGCCTTGTTCCTGATCTTAGAGGAAAAGCTCCGTTTCTTACCACTGAGTATGATGCTAGCTGAGGAGTTGTCATATATGGCCTTTAATTGTTGAAGTATTCCCTCTGTTCCCACTTTGTTGAGAGTTTTTAGTCATAAATAGATGTTGAGTTTTGTCAAATGCTTTTTTTGCATCTTTTGAGAATACCATATGGTTTTTATCCTTTATTTGTTAATGTGGAGTATCATTCTCACAGGATTTTGATTAGGATTAGACCAAAGAACACATGAAAATGTTTTGATTTCATAAAGCAATACTTGGCACTTCTAAGATGTCCATATTAATGCAAAAATAAAGGCCACTTAATCAGGAGTGACAAGAGCCTACCCTTAGTGATATGTTAATTTTATACATTACTTATATTACAGGTAATCTAATTACTGTTAATTTTTAAAATAGTGGTTGCTTATTTATGTTTCTTTCCTGCTGGTTACCTGAATTCTAAAAGTAATTATGGGAAAATCCCTATCTGATATTTATATTTAAAAGAATTTCATCCATTCCAAATTATCCTTGTAGTTTCATGAATTTTTGCTTTATGTTGTTAGAGGTCATATATTTACAAATATTTTCCTGGTGAGTGGAATGCTTTATGTAATGAGTATCTTTAAATATAGAACTTTTTCTTTCTTGCCTTAAAGTCTATTTTGATAGTAATGCAGCTGCTTCACCTTTCTTTTGGTTAAAGCAGTGGTCAGCAAACTATGGCTCACAGCCCAATCCTCACCTCAGCCTGTGTTTGTAAATGTTTTGTTGGAAGTCAGCCAGGCCTGTGTTCCTGCCACAGGGGGCAGAGTTGAGTAGCTATATCAGAGACTATGCAAAGCTGAAAACATTTACCATCTGGTCCTTTACAAAAAAGCTTGCCATTCCTGGGTTATACCATGCATAGTATATCCTCTCACTTTAGCTGTTAAATATCTTTATTGAGAGATTCCTCTTGTGAAATTACTGATATATTTGAATTTATCTGTGCCATCTGTTACTTCCTCTGATGATGCTTTTCCCTGCTCCTCTCGTTTCTTTCATTCTTTTGGATTGTTTTTGTTTGTTTTCTTGTGTTTTTTTTTTTTTTACCATGTTATCCTTTTTCCCCTAATGCTTTGGAACGTTATATACATGTTGTATTTCTAGTTGTCATCCTTAAAATTTAAACACCCATTCTTACTTTACCAAATTCTCATTTTTGCTTATATGTAATTAATGTGTATTTTAGTTCTATTTTTTAACCCCCCCCGAAGACATTATTACTGTTATTTTATTCAGTAAAGTTTAGTTTAAATCTATTTAGATATTTACCACTTCCTTTGTTTGTTTTTTACCACTTTTTTTTACCTTCTTAAAGATGTCATTACTTCCCTTTTGCCTAAGTACATTTTGTAATATTATATACAAAGTTTAGTGGCAAACTTTGTTTGAGCCTCCACTAACAACAACAACAACAACAAAAGACTATTGATATGTTTAGACCATTCACATTGAAAAGCAATTGTCTGATATAGCTGGATCACTGTCTGCCGTGTTTATAGCCATTATCTGCTCTTGGCATTTGTTCTTTGTTTCCTTTTTAATCTCCCCCCCCCCCCCTTTTTTTTTTTTTTTTGCTATTTCTAGTTTTCATTAAGCATTTTATATGACATGTTTTCTCTCCTTTTAGTATGTCAATTATTACTTCTTCTCAAAGTTTTTTTTTTTCATAGAGGTGATAAATGGTGATGAAAAATAAATACAATTTTTGTTAGTGGTTGCCCTAGAGTTTGCATTGACAACTACAGTTGATCCTTAAACAATGTGGGAATTAGGGATACAGATCCCCTTGCAGGTGAAAATACAGGTATAATTTCTGACTCTACAGGTGGCTCTTCCTATCTGTGGATTCAACCGATTGCAGTTGGGAATGTGAAAATACTGTTTTCAATCTGCATTTGGTAGAATCCAAGGATGCAAAACCCATGGATACAAAGGGCAGACTCTACTTATTGAAAAAAAAAGAAAGAAAAAAAGCTGTGAATAAATGGACCAGAGCAGTTCAAACCCATGTTGTTACCGTACAACTGCAGTCTACATTAAAACAGAGTATTCCTAATTTCTCCCTCCCATCCCTATTAACATTGTGGTCACTCATTCAACTTACCCATATGTTGTGCTCAAACAATATACATTGTTATTAATACTTTAAACAGTTGTTAGATTAATTATGAAAAAAATACAATTTTATCTTCATCTATTCCTAACACTCTTCCTTTCTATATGTAGATCCATGTTTCTGACCTGTATCATTTTCCTTTCCTCTAAAGAACTTCTCTTAACACTTTATGAAAGGCAGATCTACGAGTAACTGATTCTCTCGAGTTTTGTTTGTCTGAGAAGGTCTTTATTTTGCTTTCACTTTTAAAGGGAATTTTCACTGAATACAGAATTATAAGTTGATTTTTTCCCCTTTCAACACTAAATATGTGATTCCACTCTTGCTACATGGTTTCTACTGATGACAATTCAGCAGAACATATTTCTTGTCCTTGTTCCACCATAGGTAAGCTGTTCTTTTCCCCAAACTGGCTACTTTCAAGATTTCCTCTTTATTTTTTATTTTCTGCAGTTTGAATAAAATAGGCCTAGGTGTAGATTTTTTGGCATTTATCTTTCTTGGCACTTTCTGAGCTTCCTAGATTTATGTTTTGGTTCCTGCCATGAATTTTGGAGAAGTATTAGCCATTATTACTTAAAATATTGCTTCTGTTCCTTTCCTTCTTTTACTTGATATTCCCATTACTTGTATAGTACACCTTCTGTTGTAACTTTCCCCACTGTTCTTAAATATACTGTTCTATGTTTTTTCATTTTTTTTCTCTTTGCACTTGAATTTTGTAAGTTTCTACTGAGTGTTTTCAAGCTCAATGATTCTTTCCTTGGTGTATCTAAGAGCCCATCCACAGCATTCTTCATTTCCATATTACAGTATTTTTAATTTCTAGCATTTCCTTTTGATTCTTTCTTAAAATTTCCACCTCACTGCTTACAATATCCATGTGTTCTTACATGTTGTTTACTTTTTCCATTAGTCTTTAACATATTAATCATAGGTATTTCAAGTTCCCTATCTGATAATTACAACATTTGTGCTATATCTATGTCTTATTCTAATGTTTGTTTCTTCTTACCTTGCAATTTTTTGCAAAAAGCTAGAAATTATGTGAGGTTTTATGTTAATCTGGCTAGGGATAAAGCTGCGTTAAATGTTTGGTGTGGGTATTAAGAGGTTCCAGTTTCCTTTTTATTCCCCCTCCTTCCGCCCCGTTGTCTTTCTTTCCTAAATACCCGTAATTCTGCAGCTTTCTCCATTGTAATTCAGTTCTTCCCACTGGAACCCTGATCATATGGTGGTAAGGTGGGATGTTTAATACTTTTATGATTAAATCTTTTTAATAGGCTTTGTCCCTGGGCTGTGTCCTTCAGAAATGTTTCTGGACCTTTCCCCCCCTTCTCTTACATGATATAGAAAGGTTGGAATGGCCTACTTCCCCAGGTCAGATAAAGCTTTGTTACAGCAGTTTCCCTTAGTGCGCAGAAACATGAGGGGATCTTTCTCAGGTCTTCACCATGGGAACCTGGTGGGGCTTTAGGTGGTAAACCCCAAGGAAGTATGGGGACAAGCCCCCTGCCAATACTGGGTCCCAAGAGTTCTTAACTCTCAGGCTATTCCTCACTGGGTCTCCAGAATTCATCAAAATGACCGAAGTGTTACTACCAGTTACTGGCTCCAGCAGCTTCTCTTCCAGGAAGCTCATTCTAGCTGTGTTTCTCTACATTTGCCTTCTCTACCGACTCTGAGGTGGTGGTTTGCCTTGTCATCTCAATTCTCTGATGGATCTAAGAAAAGTCACCGATTTTCAGTTTGATCAGCTTTTCCTTATTGTGAGGATAGCTCCGAAGCTGTTTACTTGTCAGAGCTGAAACTGAAGTCCACCTTCATTTAGCATTTTAGAAACATCATTCCATTTTCTTCAGTAGCTGTTGTTCGGTTAAATTCCTTCTCCTTTGAAGATGTTTTCTCTCTCCTGTTCAGTGATTTTCTTGTTAACTTTGCTGTTCAGACAGCTGGATTTTATTAATATACTATGTGGAATTCATTGCACTGCCTGGATATAGGGTTTGGTGTCTTTTTAAAATTATGGAAACTTTTCAGCCATTACCTCTCTTTGTATAATTACTTTTCTCTTTCACCTTTCATTTTGGATTTCTGATGATTATGTGAAACCAGAACTTTTTCCAGCTGGTGTACGGTGAATGGGTTATCAATGTGTTACGATAATGATTTGCTCTTCTGGTTGCAAGTGGCCTCATTCATTTACCTCAGTGTGCTATGCTGTACAGATGCTGTTTTTATGTTCATTATGACATGAAAATTTCGAATTACAAAGCATTGTTTTAGAGCTCCTCCCTTAATCACTGTTTGCTCAAATAACACCAAGCTCACATCTTTAACACATGTGCTGCCATTGGTAACCTGAAAGGAGTCTCTAGCGATGATATTTACCTTTAGGTTTTTTAAGGGGTTGTGGAAATTTTTCTAGCCTTGATTATTATTAATACTCCTTAAATCTAAGAACATAAAACAAGTTTTTGTAGAACAAAGAATTACAACAGCTTAAATAGTCATGTGCAACATCTACAGCTTACAGTTATTTGACAACTTTGAAGCCACAGTTTCTAATAGAATACAGACTTTTAAAAAATTACAAGTTTACTTATTTGTATATGAAAAAGTTATTCATCCATCAACTCAGTATTTTATAAACATTAACCTGATATATAATTTTTACTGGAATGGTCTAAAGTTTATAATAACGACTGGTTCACATTCTTATTGAAAATGCCAAAAATATCACAATTTTACTAATATAGACACGATACTTTGTGTTTTTCAAAAGTTATCTAGTTTTAACTAAGTTTTAACTTGCTAGGTGAGATTAGCCTCACTAAAGCTTATATACAGTAACTTTATCTAAACTTTCAAGGTGGTTTTATAAACTCTTGTTGTCGTTTTCTAGATAGAATACCTCTGCCCAACAGTCCCGCTCGGATGCTGCATTAGCCAGTCCTCTAATAGTAATCATGCACACCTTGTGTAGGATGAATCTTTTCCCCATAATGTCTTATACATGGTAGTACTCGACGTATAAGTAAAATTTTTTGACAAAGTTGCAATGTAGTAGAAAAACCAAAATCATTCCAGTTGGTTTGCTTTTTCCATGCCTCCTACAGAGGTCACAGGAAGGAGGAAGTCTACACATTACAGATCAACAGACACCCCTATGCAACTCACACACCTCTATTTCTCCATGACATCTATGTCTTATTAATCTTGGTGTATGTTATGGGCTGTGCCTTTCTAAAAGTTTACATTTATGAAAACCTATCAGACTAGCAGGAAATAGTAGACATATCTGATATAAGTATTAGTGCTATGTATACAAATAAACCTTTGTTTCTACATTTCATGCTTCATATAGAAGTGAACAGTGTTCTACAAACCTGATGAGAGAAGCAGTAAGGTTTTCATGCAGAGATATTCTTCATAAGATACCTGAAGCCTTTGTAACTCAGAGGAAACATATAGCATGTGTTTACATTGGTCATACATGAAGGGTAGAGACATCCTTTGCCTGTGAAAGACAAATATCAGTGTTTGAATTAGAAATAAGTACTGCTTGTTCCATGAAGGAAAACCTAACGATTACGATTAATGCTAATTCCCTACAGATGAGAAGTTTCCTTAAACTTGTTCCTGGGTCTAAAGCATATAAAGAGACTACTGAACAATGTAATTTTACATTGAAGAAGTTATTTTTCCATCATGCACTCCATGAACTATTTTATTTACTTAAGTGTTTAGAACTTATTACTTCTACAGGATTTATTACCACTTGCTCTTTTATGGTAGCATCCAAATATGGCCAACTAGACAACACAGCTTTAGATCCTACCCATTTAAAAATCAAAAGGCATTTTCTCTCATGGTATTCCATTCTAAAGACAACTATGAGTGATACTGTATATAGTTATGCAGAGGGTCGGAATTCGACTCTAGGCTTTCTTAGACCCCATATCTGCCTCTGACAGACATTATTATCTCCTAATGAAAGGTACCAAATTAATTCTCAACAACCACGATCACATCTACGAGTTTCAAATAGATCCCTAAAGTTTGCTAATTTCTTAAGTGAAACCAAGAGCCTGAAACTGTGCCCAGTTCACAGATTTAAAAATACTTCAAGATCTATGTGTATTTTTTTCAAAGTTTTGACAGAAAGTGATCTTGGACTTAACAGATAAAAAAGTTTTTACTTTTTTTATATGATAAAAATATTTATTTCTTTATATGATAAAATAAATCAGACATGAATGGCATACTGCCAAAGTGATGACAGGAGCTCTATGATGCTTCAAATTTAAAATCTGCTTTTAGTAAAGAGGCATCTTCGCAATGCTCCAATAGGAATTAAGCTTTCCTTTTCTGTGAGGTATCTTTTTCTCATTTAGCTTCCATTATGTTGTAATCGACAGTTACAGCGTAGTAGAGTAAAAAAATAATTCTAGTTGGCTGCTAAAAAATAGTATTTTCTACAACTTTCTGACCTAAGGACAATGATGATAAACTTTTACAAGCTACACAGATGGTCCGAACTTGAATGTATACTTTCTGACCCCCAAATCTGCCTACCCCAGACACCAGAGTAGTGGGGAAACACAGTGAGCTCAAGAAAAAGGGGGAAGAAGCCTTCCCACTTCAAAACAAAAAGAGAATGTGAAATCAGAATGGCCTCTTCAAAGCTATTGTTCGGATAAGCCATGTACCCTCCAACAGAGCTGGACACAGAGAAAAACATTTCTGTAATACCTACTTCGTGTAAAGAATGTAAGTGGCACAATCAGGTTATGTGGTGATTGTTACGCAGTGGTTTGAATGGTTCTCTTTTTGGCAACAGTGAAGGTGACTTCCTCTCTGACACAGGCACCTTGAGAGTGTGTCTGTATGGAGATCTGGTCTGGCCAAGCACATGGCAGTGCCTGTCAGTAGGTGACAGGGATATGGCTCTTCCTTGGAATACAGAGTGAGCATATATGTTTCACATGCCTCTTGCTTCTCACTGTGAGGCTTGGTCCTTTTCCTTCAGGTCTTAGTTCAAATGACACCTCCCAAAGCCATGAGCCACCCTATCTGAAATAGACATCTCTCTAGTAAAAACTCTATCATAATCTGAAATTTTATTTATTTGGTGGTTATCTGTGTCTCCCCAACTACAGTGCACGCAGTAAAGGTGAGGAGCTTTGTTGGTCATGTTCTCTGCTCTAGCACCAGGCAACACATATGGGGTGTGATGAGTATTTGTTGTTCCCCTTTAATCAATCTCTACATCATGTTACCTATCCTCTTTTTGAAATATTCCACAGGCGTTTTGCTCCTAGAATAAAATCTAAACTCTATTTAATGACATAAAAAATTCTCCCTTTGGTCCCCACCCACTTCCCTAAACTCACACAATATCCTCAGTGACTTTCTCTAAATTCCTCACATATACCAAAGTTGTTTCCAGCCTTTGCAATCATTTCTTCTACCTGGAATGCCCTCCCTTTCAAACAGTTTGTTCTGTTTCCTGCTCAGCTATTTAGCGAGGTCCTCCATGCTAATGAAGCACGTACTCCCCCTCCTCCCCTCCATCACATATTATACCATGGCTCTCCAAAATAAGTTGGGTCATGTGGTTTCCCCCATCAGATGTTAACAGGGGCATCATCTGTTGTATTCGCTGTGTGTAACACAGAGTCAGGCATTTGGTCAATACTCGTGTAACACAGAGTGAATACTGTGCTAGAAGGTAAGTGTCACCAATAGAGAAACAGCACCACATTTAATTCAATAGCTCAACCAGGTTTTTTTAGACTAACTCTGTATGCAGCTGGCCTAACAGAGGGAAAACTTGAACTCTCTGCGTAGGTAGTTCCTATTTATCATGCCAGATACATAGTCTTGCAATGACCTCGTGTGTCCTGAATCTAGAACCACCCTACTACCTGCAGCTTCCTGTACAAGGTCCAAGAATTTCCTTTACAGTATCTGGAGCTGGTATCATCCAGTCTCCACTAAAACACTTAGAGTAATGCGAGCTTACTACATCATAAGGCATTTAACACTCAGCTCAAAGATGCTTTTCTATAACTTCTACCCGTTATTTTTGTGCCTGGCACCCCCAAGAGATAAAACAATGTGTTTTCATTATCTTCACAGAATATCTCTTCAGGCTATCCTCACTGCTTTCAAGTCTCCTTTTCTCCAAATATCTCCTTTCATCAACAAATATTAATTTCCAAACTCCTTGCTACTCTGGACATGTTTAAAATTGTTACTGTTATTTTTAATATGGCATCCAGTTTTGAACACAAACTGCTGACGATGCTTGACTCACAAGCAATGGCACTATTATTCCAATAATGTGGTTTAAGAATTCAATATTTTTTGAACCCTTGTCAATACTAAGAACTCAGAACTCACAATTAAAGAAATATCCAGCTTTTTTTCATATAAACCCCCTTCATTTACTCCATAGGTGTGGGTTTGAATAAAGGAGATAAGCTGGTGTGTTTGTAAAATGTATCATCTTGAGTGGGAATGATGAGTATGTGAAGGAGAAGGAGAGAGGCCAGGTCTGGAAAGACGGAAACCACACTGAGTGTCCTGGGTGGCGGGTGAGGAGACACTGTGCGTTGGGGATACACGAGATGTGAGCACACTGTGCTTAAGGAAGAGCAAATTAGCCAGCGTGATGGTGGACAGGTGGGAGGCAGAAAGCTAGTTAGGAAACTCCTGCAATGAGTTAAGGGGGAACGGATGTCTGAAACACTTCACAGAGAGCACAGGCACAGGAGGCCAGAGAATAGCTGATTTATGAAATCTTAAAGCGTGGCTGGTTCTCTCCCAATTAAAAAAAAAAAAAAAAACAGAACAAAAAACTTTTGTTCCCATGTTCTTTTCAAGTAATAAATGTGGTGAGCCTTGCCATGCGAGGAGCTAACTGTTCTCTCTGGATCTGTGCTTCCCACTCCTCAGCTGGGATGCCTCACCTGTCCCTGCGAGCAACATGAACTGTATTGTGCTTTTTCTGACTGGAATAGGGTGATGTCATTAACCCATTGTATGCCATAAACGTCTGTAGACGCAAGCGGCAGACCTTCCCTACACACCATGTGTATCTATAAAAAAAAATGTTTTCCCTAAGTTGCAACCCTGACCAACTTTAAAATCATTTTTCGTGAGAATTTTCAGCTGAAAATATTCAAGAACACCCAAATTGTGAGTAATGTATTTATTTGTATAATATTCATTGCAAATTTTTTTTTAAATTAAATTCAAAATATCTTGGCATGTGGGGATGGTTTCCTTTTTGGACGCGTGGCAGTTAACTGGTTAAACAATGCGCCGCAGGATTCCTTTTTATTTGCTATAGACTTTGAAACCCAGAGATGCTCCCTGTTTAAGAAATATCCTGGGACAGTAACAATGCCACTTGTACATTCGCTCTGTTATACTTGGCTTGCCTTAGCCTTGATAAACAATTCTATTTCAGGTTTTCCCAGTTCCATGATACCTGGTAGCATTGACAGTCCATCAGGAAAACATCAGCTGGTGATAATATCCTATGAATACAGGGAAAATGACTCACAAGTGACTTACTCGTTAATAACCAAATCAGGAGCAAAACACAGCATGTTTGCATTTGATTGTCTGTATGATCTCCAGCCCAGGGCAAATGCCATGAGGAACATCCATGAATATTGCAGTAGGGTCATTTGGTCATCCAGGTGTAAGTTCCTGAATCCTGAGTTAAGAGAAATAAAGGTGTGAGGAAAAGCTATAGTTGCCAAAGCAAAGATCATCTCTATGGAAACTGCTAAAGACCAGGTATGAACTAGTCTTGTTGGGGGACCTCTAACAGACAGTGACATGTAGCAAGCACCCAGCTGCTCAGTCTCCCTTGGTGACATGTGAAGATCAAAGCCCTCAGTGCTTTGTAATAGCATTCAATGTTCAAAACCTTCAGAGCAGCCAGTTTTTGTCACCTCTTGCCTACTTAAGTAAATATAAACTCACCTTTTGCCTACTTAAGTAAATATAAACTTAACTAGAGGCCCGGTGCATGAAATTTGTGCACTGGGGGGGGGGCAGTCCCTCAGCCCAGCCTGTGCCTCTCACAGTCCAGGAGCCCTCGGGGGATGTCTGACTGACGGCTTAGGCCCAATCCCAGAAGCCCTGAGCCAGGCTCACAGCTGGTGAGCACAGCGGCGGTGGTGGGAGCCTCTTCCACCTCTATAGCAGCACTAAGAATGTCCAACTGATGGCTTTCTACCTCTTTCCTCTGACAGTGTAGGGATGAGAAAAGGTCAGTCACTTCAGTCTTCCCTGTCTCTGGCTGTGTGAACAGAGCTTGTCAATTCCCCTCTAGCTGTAAAGTCAGGGAGCCTTAAAATATTCTACTTTAGTCCATTTTGACAGTGTTACCATGTCTAATTTTTACCAATTTTACAAATAACCAGATTTTTAAAAGTGATACAATGAAGGAAAACAAACTGAAATCTAAGAAATAGTTTACATTTTCTTCTCCTACTTAAGTGTAAAAGGAATTCTGAGTAAGTCCTGTTAACTCTGTGATGTTACATCATCCTATCTGAAAAGCAGGGAGCAGTGTAAAACTTTTACTATAGACTCTCCTATAACTAGAATGAGGAACAAGATAACATGGGACCATGATGATAAAGATCCAGAATGTTTTTGCTTAAGAAACAGACTCACAGAACAAATCGGTAGTTGCCATAGGAGAGGAGGGGGATGGATGAAAAAAATGAATAAGAGGTACACACTTTCAGTTACAAAATAAGTCATGGGGATGTAATGTACAGCACAGGGAAGAGTCAATAATATCTTAACAACTTTGTACGGTTACTGGGCATAGCATAGTGATTATATCATCAAGTATAAAAATGTAGAATCACTATATGTTGTATACCTGAAACTCATACAATCTATAATAATAAAAGCATAATATGCTAATTAGACCGGATGTCCTTCTGGATGAAGCCGGGCTGCGAGAGAAGCCTGGGTCCCGGGTGCCAGAGGGAAGCCGTTGTCAGCAGCCAGGGGAAGGAAGGCCTACTCTTGCACGAATTTCGTGCATCGGGCCTCTAGTAGTGTATAATAGCAACTATAATTTTTTTAAAAAGGAAAATACAAAATATGTGTCTTAGCTGTGTCACCGTTTGCACCTTACCTGGTATTGCCTTTGCCCATTTCACTGCTGCGATCACCTGTCGCCCACCTAACATGTTGAGTGTGGTCATGATCCGCCAAGCAGAGTCTGGGGAAGAACAATCATATCCTGCATACAGCACCTCCGGCTCAATGACCTCCAGCAGTGACACCAGGGTAGGGGTGAGTTGTGGTAATGTTGCAGGAACTATTGTCTTGTTAGCAGAATTTTCAGAAGTTTCCTGTGAGACCCCGGTAGTGGCCTGCTGAATTCCTTTTATCTTTTTCTTTGTTTTTCGAGCTATGAGTATTAAAAAAACACACACACAGAAATAAGTTGTGATGGGAGGTGGCAAAGTTTATTGAAGAGTTATTTTAATTTCTCAAACTATTTAGATACGAAAGAGTAGAAATGGGTGGTTTTTTTTTAGCAGTTATGATAGTGACATGGAAAAAGAAAGGACCAAGAGAAATCCATTTGTATATTAATTTCTGCTACAAATAAGTTACTTCTTTATTATAGTTATATTTTATACAACATTAAGTGTCTTACAATACTATATTAAAGCAGTCTAAACAAATCACCTTCATAGATTCTTTTATAAATTAATTTCTGCCTCACTTTCACTTTAAAGTCAAAATTTTCATTGGTTAAAGGCAAATTTCTTTTACTATCAATTGAAATAAAGAATCTAAACTTGTAATACCAAACTAGAAACTCTGGCTTAAGGTTACTCTAAATTATAATAACTTGTATAGTGAGGAGAGCTATACTGTTTACAGCCATGCACAAACTCCCCTTCTTATCAAGAGACAATGACATGGCAGATCACACACTGAAGACAGTAGTAGTTCTAAGAGCAGAAAAATCCACTTTTTTTTTAACCTATAATAATGGATACTATTTAGAACTAAAAACATGAGGGAGATGAAGAGAAAAACTTTACATTTCTTCACATAAATTACCAGTGGGTAATTTTCCTTTTATAAGAGATTTCTATTGATGACTATAATCCTAAAGCATCCATTTTCATATTATATGTAAAGTAACTAAAGCTCTCTTGTAATTTTGACTTAGTTTGGAACAGTGTAATCAAATGACAGCACGGATTCTGTAGATTTCTGAGTAAATGAAGTCTTACTCTTTGTTGTTTAGTGACAAATAAGAATTACATTATTATTTTTTAGCATATGTGCTGCTGAAGTGAGCACAGAATTATAGGATTCTTGAAGAGAAAGTACGCAGAGCTCCAGGGAAGGGTAAGGACTGTCATTTATATGAATAGGGAAATGTACCTTTCTCAGTTATCAGAGATGCAAACACATTTTGCTAATGGAAAAGTGCTAATCACCTTTACACATAAAAGACAGTTTGTTGAAGATAGATTTTGTGGCAGGAACTATTATCCCAATGTCTGGTGTTAGAGAAAAAATCCTGCCATTTCCATTGAGTAGAATAGTCCCACTTCTTACTTGCTCTGTGCTGAGTGTGGCACTGAGAAACTTCAGAATTTTTAGTCAACATTTCAAAACAGGATCATGCCAACTTTCATTTATTTCCCACACTATACTGGAGACACAGTACGGTGCAGCGGTAAAGAGCACAAGTCTGAAGCCACCATGGCTGACTCTCAGGTATTGGTGCAAATTATTTTCTGGGCCTTAGTTTCCTCTTCTATAAAATGAGGAGAATATTAGCACCTACCTTGTAGGGTGGTGGAGAATTAAGTCTGGTAAAATGTGTAAAATGCTTAGGACAGTTCCTGGCACACATTACATGCTAGGATAAGAATGTCAGTACCTCAACTGCCCTTAGCATATTTTGAGTTCAGACAGTGCAAGTCTACAGAGGAGTGATAGCGTTTTAAAAAGGACATAAGGAAACCCTCTAAACAATCAAAAGTATCTCAATGAAGCCCAGATCTCAAAACCAGGGCATGTACTTGGTTGACAAAGTGAAAGAACATGCACGACCCAAATCAACCTACTGAAATCGGACTGTACACCCTCAATGAACTCTAGCTTTAAAATGCCGAGACTGTGTGTTCACACTCCACATTAGAACCAAGAGGAAAGGATATGACAAGCTGGGAGATTAAATTTTAAAAAACCTTCTGTGACTCAGCACATAATTAGTTTAATTTCTTACTATTCACCTACAGTCCTAAATGAGGACTGATGCCTCTGAATAAAGCTCAAAGAGCACATCCAATGGCGGGGTACTGACTAGAGCAAGAAAGGGCACTAGGATGTTTCCACAGAACTTTAGCAAGGAGTTCTTAATTGAATACATTAAGAACTTACTATTTTAAAGCAATTTAGTTAATAAGATTTTTCCTGTATATGAAGTTTCTGACTCCTTGGAGCATATGGTAGATTAATGTTCAATATGTGATCTCTACGGAAGTATTCTCAAGTCCGGGATAGCTCCACTTCTTTGTTAATAAAAGTAGAGACATCTTAGTTTAGAAGTTAGCTTTAAGATATTAGATATGAAATCTAATAATGTCATAAGCCTCCTTGCCTTTAAATTCCACTTGACTCTCTACACTAAAAATAAAGCTGTATTTTGGAAAGATTACAATACAACTTAAAATGAAGTATAGAACATTTGGGATCACCATTAAAAACCTTTATCTGTTTTCAAATGCTAGGCACTTCAGGCCAGGAAGAAGGCTGCCTTAAAATATACCTTGAGAATTCTTTGGTAGGGGCAGCAGTACTAAGTTACTTTTATGGAGAGAATTGGGCTCTGAGTGAGCCAGTGGCTTCTGCGAAGTTACTCTGGGGTTATCATGAAATTTCCTGGCTTAGGGGAAACACTCCAATGAACAAAAGAATATTTATAAAGATTATATTGTTCTTAAGTATTATGGTCTGCTAGACTATTATGGTCTGCTAGACACTTCTGGCACTTACTCCAAATAAAGGTTTTATATACACTGGAATAATTGAACACAAAAATGAAGCTTTTTTACTAAAACCACACCTATGCAAAAACTCTATGAACTTCGATATTTAAAAGCCTTTCGGTTTTTCTACAAATTATCAACTGCATGGTATGTGCTAATAGTTATATTATTAAATGACAAACTGGAACTATGTAGTCACATCTATAAATCTTTGTATTTAAAAACACGTGCATAGTACGTGCTAGAAAGCTCTAACAGTCTCCTATCAAAAGAACCACGTGGCTTCCATCCTCCCTCTAATATCACCATGTCTTGTTTAGTTGATCGCTCTTTATAAGATTGGCTTTTCTAAAATACAAATCTGATCATGTCCTCTGCCATTATTTTCACCTAATTCCTACTCAGCTTTTTTAGACCTAAAATTCAATGTTGCTTCTTCCAGGACGGAATTAGGTGACACTATTCCGTTTGCAGTGAGCCACCCTGTTTTGTGATTTGACTCTAGAACCTAACTAGACAGGTAATTCCTAGAATACAGGCACTGACTCATTGTCTTGTGCCTGCCTTCTTGGTGAGCACTGCGGAATGAAATGCTGCTATCACAACAAATAGTAAGCACATGGGCTGTTAGATCACCATCACCACCTTCACCGAACTTGCAATTTCAGTCAAAGCAGAATTCCTAACTTTCCAGAGGAACATTTTTAAACGATGACATCAATGTTAATTATATAACTTGTTACATAAACAGGAATCTGAAAATCAAACTTATACCTAGTTTCAGGTTTCTTCTTTACTTGCAAAACAACAAACCAAACCCATCCAAGGCCACTTTGAGGAGTTTTTCCCCCCTGCAGATCTACAAAAGTAATGTCTCAAGTTTTGTAATTCTCATTATTATATAATTTCTTTTTTCAGTACATAGTCTGGCTATACTGACTTCAGTAATAAGAGCTGGTGAATAAACTTAAGCAATGATGAAATATTCACTTAAAAATTCCTACTTTTATTGAATAATATAAAATTGTGCCAGTCAAGCACATATATACCATAATAACTAAATTATTGCAACCTTTTACTTACATTTTAAAAAGTAACATAAATTTTCATATGATTCAGAGATAGTTCCGTTCAGGTCTGACCTTACCTTCCAGGTTCATTCCAGCTTGAAGACATTTTCGATAGCGGCACGCAGGGCAGTTTTTTCTTCGAATTTTATCAATGATACAATCATTTCTTCCAGCACAAAGGTAATTGTGCTGTCCTATAGGGAAAATAAAGGCACTGTTAAAATTTCACAGGTCTCAAAGGAGATGCTTTCTGGAATGATTCTGTCTGTTTCTGTTTTAGGCAGAGCGGAGCCAAAGAGCAGAGGCACTGACTGAGGAAGGGACAGTGGACCTGCCTCCATTGTCGCTGCAAAGATCAACTAAAAATGTCTTTTTTTATTCTATTCAACATATTCAGAATAGTGTATTAAACACGGTATGGCAGCATTCAGAGAGAAAAGTAAACGTCTCATAAACGGGACACCGTCATGTGAGCAGCTCTCAGATCAAGAAGCAGAGCAATACCCCACAAATGCCCACCAAGGGCAACTCTTTCTTGATAAATTGTGCTTTAAACAGTTTCTTGTTTTAACAGTTACAGGAGATGTCTGTACTCACTATTTTATTATGACTTCTGACCTAATGCTAAGGAGGATTAAAGAAAAAGGAAACTGGTTTTAAAACACTGAGAGTCCCAAAGGGAAATGACTTTCATGTAACATTATTCTACCACATGCAAATAAAATGTGCTCCCCCTCCCAATAGTAAAGGAAGCTATAGGTAAACAGTTAATCTTAAAGGTTAAGGTTGCCATCAACTAGTTAGGTGAACACAGACTTGACAAACAAAACTACTGCAGATCCTACAGAGACTTGTTAATTATTTCACATGCTTTTAGAATATAAGAATGTTTGAATTCACCATTAACCCCCCCCCCCAAGTATTAAATACCACTACTGTCTAAAATCTTGTGGTGCCCAGTTATTAAATAATGTGTAGAGGCAGAAGTACAGTTTTCACCTGGTGAAAGTTTTCACGGAAAATTTCAAAGGAAAAGACTGAAAGTCCCCCTACCCCACATGCATAATCTTGTAATTTTCTTTGAACCTGGTTGGTGAAGGAAACTATCTGAGGATCTGCTGGCCTGGCAAGAACCAAGGATCCTCCTCCACAAGATGAGCATCTATATATATATAAAAGCCCAAGCGACTGTTACAACCGAACGACCGGTCAACCGGTCGCTATGATGTGCACTGACCACCAGGAGGCAGATGTTCAATGCAGGACCTGCCCCCTGGTGGTCAGTGCACCCCCACAGCCAACCTCCCATGGTCCCTACCCCTGACTGGCCGGCCCCGACAGGGACTGGGCAAGACGGCCCCAATTGCCAGCGAGCTGAGGGAACCCCACCCGTGCATGAATTTGTGCACTGGGCCTCTAGTATCTAAATAAATACATGAGACAACTAAGAGTCCATGTACCTTACACTAGAGGGGGTGGTCTTCACAAGACTGCAAGCCATTTCTCTTCTCAAAAATAAATCATACTCAAAGAGAAGAGAAAAATTCAATTCACTAGGTTGACTATACCTAGTTCTAATTTTTAGGGAAAGATCCTTTATGCATAGGACAACCTAAGACTTGCCTGAAAATAAACTGTGTTTACTTCTTCCTAATAGGATAAGTCACAGTGCTCTTTAAGCATTAGTTTTGGTAGATGGTTAACTGTGTCCAGTTCAACTCTTTGTGAGGCATAGGCCACAGAGCTGACTAACGGCCCTACTCCAGAACTGCTCTCCAAGGCCAAATGTCTGCCAGCTGCTTCAATCCTGTCCACGCTGTGGACGTTTCCTAGCTGCTTTACTTGAACATAAAGTGTGTCAAGCCAATAATTCTACCCAGTAATTCTATCCTCTATTAAAGCAAAAGTAGGAACAAGAGATGTATCCATTGTTGAAGCAGTTATAATATAAAGAATTTTGGCTCCATAAGAATATCGCCAAATCACTGTCCTGCAGTTACTGGAAAAGGCAGTTGAAAAAATTACTCATTGCTAAAAACAGAAAAAATTCTAATGCTCTATTTGTATCCAACCAAAATATCAGAATGTGCATAGGATGCTAATAATGATTTCTTTATCCCAGGTATGTCTTAAGCACATGCAAGAATCTGAGCTAGAGGATCAGTGGGCATTGTGTATTTAAGTTAAAATTAGTCTTATCTGGTTAGTAGTATGCAATTGGGCAAGTCTGTGTCTAATTTATAAAATGAGGAGTGGCCACTCTTTTATAAGGCCTGGACATGAACCACTAACGTCAGTCCTTGCCAATCCCTTTGATAAGACAAAGGGATGTCTTAGTTTGGAGTCCCTGTCTTGTACCACTTGGTAAATTCCCATTCTAACTAATAAATACAATAGAGAGTAGACATCAGGAGAAAAGCCTTCAAGCCAGCTGAAATTTCTTAACATTTTGTTTGCATCATATTTTTGTGTGTGGTTAAAACCTATTTTTGGCAAGTGACTCTAGTTTCTATTTGTGGCAGGTGTGGTAGCCAGCCTCCACGATGGCCCCCAATGGTCTCTGTGCAGTCCCTTCCCATACTCTGCCAGGACTGGTCTGTGTAACCAATAAAAACATGGCAAAAGTGACAGCACGTCACATCTGAGATTAAGCTGTAAAGACATTGGTTCCATGTTGGTTAGTCTCTCTTGTGGATCGTTTGATTTGGGGGATGCCAGCTGACAGCATGCTGGAGGAGCCACACAGTGGGGAACTGAAGCTGCTGCCAAAAACAACGCTAATGGGTGGCAGGAGCCTTCAGAGGACAGCAGCCCCATCAACAGTGTGATGTAGCCTCACAACTGCCCCAGAACCACCTGGCTCAGAGCTGCTCCCCAATCCCTGACTCGCGGGAAGGGCATGACACAGTAAATGCCTTCTATTCATTGTGGAGGTAATCTGTTGTACAATAGATAATACAGGAGGGATAGTAAAGTTGTGTGTTCTTTAAAAAAAAAATAATTTAAGTTTTAAAACAGAGTGATCTAAGAACAATGTTAGTAAGTAGGACCGGGATGCACAGACATGAACAAGACCCTGGAAGTGCTATGGGACACAGGTACCACAGCAAAGGGTATGTCCTAGGTTTTCCGCAGTTTGTATACTCTATTTGAAGTAGCCAAGTTTTCAATGTGAACTGTCAGCTTGAGCTTCTCTGTACCTGCTCTCAAAAGCAGTGTGTACAGTGGAAAGTGTACTGCTAAGGTGTCAGGAAACCCTGATCTGAATTGCAGCCCTACTTTCTAGCTGTGTGATCTCAGTAATGTTTATTAACTTTTCTGAGCAGCTGCTTCCTCAGCCGTAAATCTGGAAAATTAGCAACTTACCTGGCTGGCTTCTGCAAGGTTCTTCCAATAGTGCCTAGCACACTGTAAGGGCTCAATAAATGATAGCTATGAAACAATGCCCTTGTAATAACTTTCAGAATCTAGGCAGATGATGGACAGACAGGTGACAGGTTTTTATCATATACCTCTCAGGGAGCCAGGGTGACACTGAGGTTAAGAGCCAGCTGTGTTATAATCTGAGTTCTGCAAGCTAAACTCTCTGAGCCTCAGTTTCCTAGTCCATCAACTATGAATCCTAACAGCATCTAAAAGTTCAAAGCTGTCAATTAGGTGGTATGACATATATAAAACAAGGACTTCATGCATGGTAAATTACAGGTAGCTGATGCCTATCTTCATAATGACCCACCAACAAAGATGAGATGTACTATTGTGCAAAGGGAACATAAAAAAATGGGACTTGGGGGGAAAAAGATCACTAAACTAGTATACAAAAAGGAAATGGAGCTACCCATGTATGCAGAAAAGAGACACACAGAATATCAAATAAAGAAGTTCAAAATATCTATTCTTGATCTAGTTTTTATGGAGAATAAGTAAAACTTTGGCAAATTCTGCAAATTTCCTAAAAACAGTTAAGTGTTTGGGCAGTTACTATAATATGCCAATTTAGGGTAAAACTCATCATGTGTAGCATGTGTAATAAATGAAGTACTAAGTATAATGCAAATCGTACAAGCTACATCTTCGTAGTTTTTAAAAAGTGCTCCAAAAATGTATCTGGGCCTTAAAACATTTTCATCATGTCTAGAGAGGTTGTCAAAGGATTAAAGAATTGTAGAGGTGAAAGGGGCCTTGGAGAACATTAAAATCCAAGGAAAGGATTTACTTTACAGTCCACATTTAAGCTTTTCCCTATTAATCATGCAATCTAGACATCACATTTAACTGAAATACTTAAGTGATAAATATTTGAAACAGTAGAGCTAATATTAAATTTTACCTAAAAACAAGTATAAGAATTTAATTCTAAAGCAGGGATTAAGACCAAAGAGCAAATAGCTTGGTATTTTATTGGAGAAGTATATTTAGCTCTTTCTTTTCTTTTTAAATTGCATTTGAATGCTTTTACATAGGGCATGCTCCTACATTCTAATGGCAATAACTGCCCACCTTCCCCCAGTTGTATTCTATTTTGCCAGAATGACATACTTGGTCCCTGCAGGCATTTGAATTTGCAGCCCTGTTTTGTTTTTTTTTAAAGGGGGCACACCTGGAGAATCACCACATGCTCCTGGAAGCTTCAGTGGTTGGCCCCAGGAAGCCTGCACTCTTCTCTAGGCAAGGCAGAGTGGCTCCTGGCTTGCTGGTGGGCCCAAGCTAAGGATTCCATCCAGACCAGTAGTATTTTTTTTGTTTGTTTTGTTTTTAAATATATTTTGTTGATTTTTTACAGAGAGGAAGGGAGAGGGATAGAGAGTTAGAAACATCGATCAGCTGCCTCCTGCACACCCCCACTGGGGATGTGCCCGCAACCAAGGTACATGCCCTTGACCGGAATCGAACCTGGGACCCTTCAGTCCGCAGGCCGATGCTCTATCCACTGAGCCAAACCGGTTAGGGCTGCAGCCCTGTTTTAAAGAATAATTTAGTTAAAATGGAGAAAGAAAATTATTTTTTAAATACCTTATTTTTTTCAAGGCTCCAATGTCTCATTCTAAATTTCACTTTCAGAAATCAACCTGTCGATATTATTTATGCACAGCAATACTGTATTACTGTTATCACTGCATTTATATCATGGAGGTTACTCATCAGGTAAGAAAGTGATGAGTAAAGTAAAGTGAGGACAAGAAGAAGCTTCCTTCTCTTGGGTTTGCTGTAAATAAGATCTACTTTGTTAGAGGCACTGCTCTAAGCAGGGGAGGACTTTACTCACAAGTGTACTCAACAGTTGGGAGTTACTGAACTGGTCAAAACCTGCACCCCTGTGCTCTAAGTGGGGTAACGAGCAATTCTATAGTTGGCTAATGTATTAAAAAGTAGTCCAAAGAAAAGAAACTGACTCATCCAGTTCCTAAGGATGCAAACACAACTCTAGCCAAATAATCCTTCTCATAATGTGAATGAATAAAATATTATTTCTTTAAAAATTAATAGAACCACAACAAAACAACAAGAGAGTCTACTGCATGGGAGAACATATTTGCCAGTGTTATCTCTGATAAGGGTTTAATCTCCAAAATTTACAGGGAACTTATACAACTTAACAAAAGGAAAATAATCCAATCAAAAAATGGGCAAAGACCTAAAT